GGGGGTGGGGGGAAGTGCAATGCTACATATGGCTCGGGATATCACTGGTGCTCTGCCATAGTTAGCTGGAGCTGGTGTGGTCAAGGTGCCCGGTCCCTCTCCCTGCCCTTTCCCCAGCTCCCTGCTGTCCACAGCTTTGGAGCAGCCAGCCATGTGGAGTGCAAATCAGCCAGGGAGGGTGGCTTAGACCCCAGCCCCTGTGTAGCAAATGCCTGGGCTACTTCCCTGAGCCCAGGGAGGTGGACCTGATTTGTTGTGCATGTAAAAAAGCCTCAAAGGGTTTCCAAGCAGGGCTTTTTAGCATGGCTTCCTAAGGAAAGAGGATGGGTGTGATTCCAGAGGCCTCAGCTGGCCGGCAGCTCGTCCCCTCCTGGCAGCCTTGGGCTTTTTGCCACGTCCAGGGAAGAGATTCCAAAGCTGGAGTGAATTTCTTGAAAGGAGGTGGGTGGATAGAGCAATTTCCACTACTTCCCTGAGGAAGAGCGATGTGCTCACCTCCTATTAGACGTCGGAGAATCCACGCTGCAGATGGGCAAAGTGGGAAATCAAATGTGATTTTTCAGCCCATGTCCCCCTGTCTCCTCCTGTGTGTCCCTGCAGTGACCCCTCTCCTCCTCACCCGGGTACTTGGGGTACAACCTCTGCATTAACAGCCTCTTCCTCTCTTCTCCTCTCTTCTCCCTTGCCAACACGGACCTGCCCGGACGCTCTCCCTGCTGCCACCCGGGCCCCAGAGCGCACCCCAAGTCGGGTAAGTGGTGCCAGCACGCCTGGCCCTGCCCAGCCTGGTGGCCTCAGCTGGCCTCAATGCACAGGTGAGGGGACAGGCTGCTGTCCCTCCATGGGCCCTGCCCAGCATCCTGCCAGCCCCGGACACTCGCAGCATCACCAGCCCACACGGGTGGAAGGCAGAGCTGGCTGCTGGCTCCTGGGAAGGGCTGCGGGTGCTGGGGGAGCCTGGCTGCGGGGTGGGCACAGGGGTGTGAATATGTGTGTAGGGATGTAGGGGAGTCCAGGAGAACATCTGAGTGGAGAAAATAAGACAAAGGCAGGTCTCTCCCAGAGAGGAAATGTGGTCAGCCAGGCTTTGCAGGGTGTCTGCTCTGCCCCAGCTCACACACCTTCCTCTTCCCCTCTCTGGCTCAGAGCGTTTCTGCTTCCCCTCCCGAGAGCCTGCAGGACGAGGAGCAGCCGGGCGGCACCGGGCTGAAGCGGAAGCGGGAGGAGAAGGACCTGCCTGGGCATTATGTGAGTGCAGCAGCGAGCGTGGCCGGGACACATGGGTCTGGGGCACTGGAGGTGACCAGGGAGCTCGGCACCTGCCCTGGGTGCTGTAATCCTGCCACAAGAAGCCAACAAAATGAAGAGCCCCAGGGCAGCTCCTCAGCCAGAGGGTTGAGTCGCTGTCTGTAGGGCCGGGTGTTGGTCCATGAGAAGTGATGTGCGGGAGAAAACGGGGTCTCTGCTGGCTGGGGTCCTGTGGGGCAGAGCCCAGAGCTTGGTCCAACCCTTCCCACTCCTGACTCAGACTCTCTGGGTTTCTCCTCCCTTGCAGGATAGTGACGGGGACAAGAGTGACTACAACCTGGTGGTGGATGAGGTAAGCCCACACCCTTAAGGAGCACTGAATTTCAGTCTCTTGCAGCCAAACTGCCAGGTGCTTCTGGTACAACCTTCCCTGACCACCAAGGCAGATACAACAGTACTTTATCCCAGCCCCAGCTATTCTTGGCACTGATGATGTTTTTGGGGACATCTCTTTTCCTCCCCTTGAAGGCTCAGGGGAGGGACAACGCACATGATTTTTTTTTTTATTATTATTTTTTTTTTGCCTCCTGCCACTTCCCAAGAAAATAGAAGCCCTGAAAGGAACATCAGCAGGGATTTCTGCAGAAAACGACACTTATAAAAACTGCTGGTTGGTGTAATTATGGTGATAAAAATCACAGCCCTAATTGAATGGTTATAGGAGTGCAAGAGCTGATGGGTGGCCTCGCCTCTGAAACGCTGTCAAGGGGCTGCCAAGAGGCTCTTTCTCAGTTCCTTGGGTGTGCTGGTCGCCATCCCTCCTTGTGAAGGCATCCCTGGCCACCAGCGTTCTCTGAATCTGCTGTCACCTCTCATTTTGTTCAAAGAGAAAAATAAAGGAGGTTCCTTATCCAGGGGACCGTGAAGCAGAGCTGAGGCCTCTGAGCGGCTGCTCCTCGTTAATGCTGCTCAGGCAGACAGGACA